GGAACCAGTTCAGTAAAGGCTTTTCTGAAGAAGAGGGTTTGGAGTCTGGATTTGAAGGAGGTTAGAGAATCTATACAATATATATACAATATAAAATACACGTAAAACAACGAGAGATGAAAAACGCAAAAAACAAAATGTTACCGAGAAATGTTTCTTCCTTAAACTTGGCTGAAACCATTAAAGGGAAGAGCAGCACGAAGAGAAACGTTCCCACTCGCGAAAGCAAAAACACCGATAAAAACAGAGAGCCTTACCAGCCCAGGACGAGTGCGCACAGCAACAGCGGCAGCATGTCGGCGGGTGGGAAGTATCGATAACTAATATTCATTTAACGATCGTCTCGCTCAGTCACGGCGCCCGTCCGCTCGAGACGATCCCAGGGTCTGACTGTGCGCGAGAACCGCGGTGCGGGACGGGGGGGTGACCCGCGTGCTACACGCCACCCCAAAAAAAACAAATCCTGCAAAATGAGCTGATAGGCTTCCGCGAGCGTACCGGCCAATCGCCCGCGCGGCGTCACGGGGCTCCGGGTGAAACCGGGTCCCGCAGGTCTGCGGACCGAAACCGAAACTCTTGCCGGTCTCAGAGAGAGACCTCCCAGCGCGTACAGCGTGCGATGAGATAACAAGAATTAAAAATACTATCTTCAAAAAAAAACACTGATTGTGTTAAATACTGTGGCAGCCGTGTCCCTCTGTCTGCCCCACCTGAATAACCTGGGCGCTAGAGTCAAGAGGACGGGGCTCGGCTCACACAGTCTCTGCCTGGCCCCTCCAGCTGTCCGTTCTATACAGCGGGTATAGAGATACGGCCGAGCCGCAGTGGGTATGTAAACATCAGGTAAACTGGCTCAGAGTCACATGCGAACTGGATCAGAGTCACAGGTAAACTGGATCAGAGTCACATGCGAACTGGATCAGAGTCACAGGTAAACTGGCTCAGAGACTCAGGTGAACTGGCTCAGAGACTCAGGTGAACTGGATCAGAGTCACAGGTAAACTGGCTCAGAGACTCAGGTGAACTGGATCAGAGTCACAGGTAAACTGGATCAGAGTCACATGCGAACTGGATCAGAGACTCAGGTGAACTGGATCAGTGTCACTGGTGAACTGGGTCAGAGTCACAGGTAAACTGGCTCAGAGTCACATGCGAACTGGATCAGAGTCACAGGTGAACTGGATCACAGAGGACGCGGGGAACTGGGAGCGGCTGTGTGGAAAATAACTTTAAAAAAAAAGTAGAAACCAGACGTGTACATAAAAGGAGACAGAATATTAAAATAGACACAGAAATAGACACTTCACCGCCAGGAAAATTATAACAGCCAGACAATTCTAAAAGCTGAAAATGGTACTTTTTTTATATATCGCCATTGTAGGTTTTGCGTTTTCGCCCTTAAAAGCGTGAATCGAGGGAGCGGTATTAGAGCATTAGGCAGGGAGACAGCGGCGCTGTGAGAGAGCACCGCCTGAACGCCTCTACCCTGTTCAGTCACACCACACACACAGAGACGGGGCAGGAGTTTCACCGGCTCTGCTGATTCCTGCAGACCTGGAACTCTTCCTGCTGTGTCCCTGTGTGTATCGTCGGACGCACAGGGACATCACCTTAAGAGCATAAGAATGAGGCCTGTTTGGTATCGGCAGGGTATCGGCTTCAACCACAGGGCTGGGCAGCTTGTTCCCCACCCCCACCCCCCTCTGTGTACAGCAGAGCCTCCTGTCCTGACTGGAGGAGCTCACCCAGCTGTGTCTGGAGAGAAGCCAGGGTATCGGCTTCAACCACAGGGCTGGGCAGCCTGTTCCCCACCCCC